CTGGGAGGGCCTGTAGCCTTGGCTGAGCCCCATAGCCCGGGGCTATGCCCAGAGAGGGCTGCCACTGTGCACCCCCTATTCCCAGCAGATGGGGGACAGGTGCCCTGGCCCCGAAGAGAGGTTCTGGCTAGAGCACCCCAGCACTCACTACAAACACATTGGTTGTAAGATACGTCCTGAATTCGGAAACATGGAATGTGAAGAAAGCGCACCTTAATGGGGTAGAAATATCGTGTAAGGATTCAGTAGTGGTTTATTTTGGAGGTGCAAGCTGGACTTGCGGAAGAATCCAGGTAGAGAATTGGGACTCCAGAGGGTCCCAGGGATTATTTTCCACTGTCTGTCATTCATGGTTCTGTTTGCAAATCTATTTTACTCTTCCTTCTTGATATTTCAACTTTCTTTGCTAAACAGTTTAGCACCGTCAGCACAGGAGGTGGGTGAGGGCCTGTACTGTGCTGGACAATGCTTAAACATTGTCTCTCAGGAGGAAAAGAAGTGTGCACGTGTATTCATGTAATTTTTACTGATCTAGAGGATACAGAGGGCACAATTTTAGGTAATAATGAACTATACAGCACTCTTTAGTGTGAAGTCCACATAGCCAGTTGAATCTCACAGAATGTTTTCATTGATTTTTGCAGAACTCTTTTTCTCCTCAGCCAGTCTGTGGGTCTAAAGGATGAGTGAGTCCAGCTCTGACATGGATGCCAATTGATATTTATTTATTTTTAAAAATTTTAATGTATTTTTTTGTTTGGTTTTGAATGACAGAGGACAGAGTATGAGCAGGGAAGGGGCAGAGAAAGAGGGAGACACAGAATCTGAAGGAGGATCCAGGCTCTGAACTGTCAGCACAGAGCCAGATACAGGGCTCGAACCCGTGAACTGCGAGATCATGACCTGAACCAAAGTTGAATGCTTAACCGACTGAGCCACCCAGGTGTCCCACTGGTTGATATTTTAAATTAGTGAAGAAGACAAAAGTGAAGCAATAAAGGTGCATGCTAGAACTTCATTTGTTTGCCCTGTGATTATTGAATCAGATAATAGTTCTTGAATCCTGGAAGAATATCTCCTCAAGTCTTGGTCCCCTTTACTCACTGTGGGACAGCTACAGGCATGACGCTTTAAATTTCATTTGTACCTGTTGTTTTCCACAGGCGAGAGATTTTGCTACTCAGGGGACCTTTGGCAATGTCCAGAGACATGTTTGGTTGTCACAGCTACAGAAACGCTGTTCCTGGCATCTAATAGGTAAGGTCAGGGGCATCTCTCTTTCCCAAAAAGAATCATCGGGTCCACGGCTGAGAAACTCTAATCTGTATTATTAATGTTCCCTCCATAACTATTTAAAATTTAGACAATAGACGGGGTGTCTGGGTGGCTCGGTTGGTTGAGCGTCTGACTTCGGTTCAGGTCATAATCTCACAGTTCGTAGGTTCGAGCCCCATATCAGGCTCTGTGCTGACAGCTCAGAGCATGGAGCTTGCTTTAGATTCTGTGTCTCCCCCTCTCTCTGTCCTCCCCTGCTCATGCTCTGTCTCTGTCTCTCAATAATAAATAAAAACAGAGATTTCAAAGTAATATATTAGATCAGTGGTTCTCAAAGTGTGGTCCCTGGGTCAACAGAAGCTGCCTCACTTGGGAGCTTGTTCCCAAAGCAAATTATTGGGCACGACTCCAAACCTCCTGACTGAGATCATCTTGGGAGTGGGGGCCAGCAGTCTGGGTTTCCAGAAGCCCTCCAGGGTGTTCTGAGGCAAACTGAAGACAGGGCCACCGTGTTCCATTATCTAGCTTTTAAAACCAGTTACATTCTGTCCTTTAGGACAGCAGCAAAACCAACCCAGGTCATTCTGATTACATTTGGCATTTATTCCACTCTTCAGAAATGGCCAAAAAATCTCTTTTTGGATGAGTTACTCCAACAGAGCAATATTCTCATCAATCTTATGTTGATTTTGACTATCTCTTCCCTTAGACAATGACTCGTCTTTTCTTTCTTTCTTTTTAAGTTTTATTTATTTTTTTTTAGTAATACCTACATGCAACGTGGGACTTGAACTCATGACCCTGAGATCAAGAGTCATGTGCTCGTCCGACTGAGCCAACCAGGTGCTCTTGGTCTTTGGTTTCTGTGAATTCTTTATCGTAGCCCCATATATGCTATTAAATCATATTTATCTTATATAATTTAACTTCAGGGTCTATCTCTTGATTCCCATGCTAGGTGGTAACATCCTCAAGGGTCGGGACCAGGTTTTTTATTTGGTTTAGGCCGTAGAACCGAAGGTGGTGCAGAGGTCACAGAAAACACTTAAATATTGGTTGAATAATTATGGAGATTTACACAAAATTTTCCATCCACTTCTTTGCTTTCTTTTAATGGCATTATTTAAAATTTATCACATGTAATTTCTAAAGTATATATGTTAGAAACATTTGTAACGAATGTCAATAATTAAAACAAAATATGACTGCTCTCTGGATAGTTTCTCCACATTAAGGAATTTGTGTCAAATTATGGTGTGAGGAAGAAAAGACGAATCACCAATGGTTACATTTTGATATGTTTCCTTCCAGTCATTTTTTTCTAGGTTTATACACTTTTCTAACCAAAGAGAGACCATATGCTATATTTCTAGTTTCATTAGTTTACTTTTTTATGAAGCATTATATCACAAGCATTCTCATATAATTGAATATTTTCTGAAACCTGGTTTTTAATGTTCCATATTATTGTGTTGTATCTATGAACTACAACTTATGTAACCATTCCCCTATTTAGGATATTTGGGTTGCTTCCAATGTTTCACTTTTTATTTATTTTATTATTATTTTTAATGTTTATTTTTGAGAGAGAGAAAGACAGTGTGAACAGGCAAGGGGTAGAGTGAGGGAAACACAGAATCTGAAGCAGGCTTCAGGCTCTGAGCACTCAGCACAGAACCAATGTGGGGCTCGAACTCATGAACTGTGAGATCATGTCCTAAGCCAAAGTCGATGCTTAACCGACTGAGGCACCCAGGTGCCCCTAATATTTCACTTTTTAAATAACCGCTGTTACATATTGGGATGAAAATGGACACGTTCTACCTTAGAGTCTTTTTTCCTTTCTGTATTGAAAAGCTTGTCAGTTTCTTTTCTTTTTTTTTCTTTCTTTTCTTTTTCTTTTTTTCTTTTTTATTGTTGAGAGAAAGAAAGACAGACCATAGTAGAGGAAGGGCAGAGAGAGGGAGACACAGAATCCGAAGCAGGCTCCAGGCTCTGAGCTGACAGAGCCCCTCAATGTGGGGGTCTAACCCATGAACCAAGAAATCATGACCTGAGCTGAAGTCGGACACTTAACTGACTGAGCCACCCAGGCGTCCCCAAAAGCTTGTCAGTTTGCTTGTTCAAGTACACATCTTTCACTGTTCCATCTCAAACCTTTATCAGGATTAAATGCACATGTTTACAGAAACATAAAAATCTGTGAAAGTCTGAAATGTAAAAGAAGCCTGTTTATGGTAGCTACTTTTTTCTCTGGTTTAACATTTACTGTCTCTTATTGGCCAGCTGTCCTTTTGCTGTCAACTTCCATTACTGTTATGGCCATCTCTGTCCGTCCTGCATTCAGATCCTTGTTTAATAATCCCTAAAACAGGAAAGTGCTAACAGATTTTTTTGCTTATAAGTGAATTATAAGTGACTCTGAAAACAGATATCTACATAAGAGTGTTGCCATGCTTATTAGTTCAAGGAACTTTTTTTCTGTAAAATATTTTAAGCTTTCAAAAGCCCTAAAAATTAGCAAAGCCTCTTAGGTCAGAGAGTGAGTTAACTTCGTATGTTGATTTACTTCTGGTAAAAGGCAGGTATCTTTTGGACAACATGTAACCAACACAACACATGTATACAAAACTTTGTAAACTGATTCAATAATTCTCTACTGTCTTTATTTTGATAAATCATCTTACCTAGTCAACTGATGTAACTGAATGATATTTCTTTCCTTTTTGAGTGGGAAGAACTAACATGTCAAATATTGTTCAGTTATGACTCAACTAGAATTTGAAAAACAACTTCAATGGCATAGAACCAAAGATTAATGGTTTGTAAACAGTTCTTAGGGTCTTTTAAAAATTAAAACCATAGGGGAACCTGGGTGGCTAAGTCAGTTAAGCATCCAAATTTGATTCAGGTCATGGTCTCATAGTTAAGGGGTTTGAGCCCCGCATCAGGTTCTGTGCTGACAGCTCAGAGCCTGGAGCCTGCTTCAGATTCTGGGTCTCCCTCTCTCTCTGCTCCTCCCTCCCTCAAGCTCTGTCTCTCTCAAAAATAAATATAAAGCATTAAAAAATAAAATAAAAATCTTAGATATTATTTTTCTCCACAATTTTTCTTCTTGGGTTGGACTTAAAAAAAAACACAATTTCCGATTACATCTCCAATCATGTCACTGAAAATCTTGATTGCTAAACACATGACCACAAAAATGATCTCACTTAGCTTAGGGTAAATGTTCAGTTATGACCAAGGTATGTAAGCAATTTAGAAGTGAGGAAGAAGAGACATTTACTTCTGAAATGACTTACATTCTTGTAGTTGCTTAACTTTACAGGCAATTTAACGGGCTGGCAATGAACACTGCCCCTTTATTCTATACTTATGAGCGAATAGTATTGTTTAGGTGTTCCCCACTCCAGTGCATTCATATTGGTAAGCAGGTAACTTGGAGCACTGATGTGAATTTATGGTATAATGAGTGAAGATCTGGCTCTAGTTAACATAACTGAAGTGTTCTATGAGGAGACTTTTGCACCTGAACGAGCAGGTACAAGCAGGTGTAATAGCTCCTCGTTAAAAATACACCATGACTCGTGTTTCAGCCCACTTTCAATTCTATCCGCTAGCATAAAAAGGCAAGCGCGCTTCCGGAGGGCGCCGCCAGGGGGTGCAAATCCACAGCGGCTTCGTCAACAACAGGGGCCCTGGAGCGCTTCCTTCCTTCCTCTCGCTCACCTCAACTTCCGCCGGAAGCGGTTCCTGTCAGTCGTTGTCCTCCGGCGTTAGAGCTTGTTGGCGTCGGGCTCGCGGCGCCTGGCTGGCCGCGGCTGGAACCGAGGAGCTGGAGACGGAAGCTCGGGCGTCAACCCGGGCAGCGAGATGGACGTTCTGAAGTCGGAGATCCTCCGGAAGCGGCAGCTGGTGGAGGACAGGAACCTGTTGGTGGTGAGGATCCTCGGGGCTCGCGGGGCTTTGGCGATCGAAGACGTGTGTGTAGACAGCGGCGGCGGGGGGGGGGGGGGTTGCTGGGACTGGGGGGAACGGAAAAGGGGTCCTGGCGGGCGTGGAGCTTACGAGAGTCCCGCCAGTACCCCCAGAGCGGCCCCTTGAGGCCCACCCCCCGACACCTCCCTGGGGTGTCTTAGGAAGTGGGGAAACGCCCCACATTTGGGCACGTTTCCCCCCCAGCTGTCCCTTATTCCTCGAAGTTTCCGTGTCTGCGCCTTCTCTCCCCTCTGCGGTGTCCGTGTTCTGCGAACGTGCCCCAGTTCTTGTACCCAGCTCAGAGGGAGGCAGGTCCAGGATTATTTAATAAAAATCTCCCATCCGTCCTGCTCCTGAAATCTGGGTTTTTACTACATTTCCCCCGCCTCCTTCCCCCAACACATACAAAAGTCTGTGGCCAGCTCTTCGCTGATGGGACGGCTAAGGCTGCTGTGGACAAAACAGTGGAATAAAGGGAGAAAGGAAAACTACTTCCTTAACTGATCTTTGTTGCTTTGTTGCGTTGTGTACCAATAACTTAGACCAGCTGTTCTCAAAGCTTTGGGCCTCGGGAACCGTTTACACTTCTCCAAATTGTTGGGGATCCCAAAGGGCTTTTGATGATGTGTTTATTGATATTTACTGTATTGCAATTCAAAACTGAGAGGTTTATATATATATATATTTTTGAAGTTTAGGTGATGTACACAATTATTAGTTTCAGGTGTATAGCAGCCTCGGCGATTACAAATATTAGGAAATACGCACCGCGGTAAGTGTAGTTAACACCTGTCACTGTACAAAGGTGTTCATATATTTCTGACCAGGGGCGCCTGGGTGGCCCAGTCGGTTGAGCCTCTTACTTTGGCTCAGGTTATGATCTCACAGTTTGTGAGTTTGCGCCCTACACCGCGGTCTGCGCTGACAGCCTGGAGCCTGCTTCGGATTCTCCGTGTCCCTCTCTCTCTGCCCCTCTCCTGCTTGTGTTTTCTCTCTCTCTCTTTCTCAGAAATATACGTTAAAAAATACTGACTGTATTCCCAGTGCTGTACTTTTTATCTCCATTTCTTACCAGTTTTATAACTGGGGGTTTGTATCTCCCTCTCCTTCACCTGGTTTGCTCATCCCCACCCCCTCCACAATCACCCGTTGTATGTATTTATTAGTCTCTATTTTATTTTTTTAGTTTCCATATATAAGTGAGATCACATGGTATTTGTCTTTCTCTGACTTCAGCTGGTGTAGTACCGTCTAGATCGGTCCATGTTGTCCCAAGTAGCAAGACTGCATTCTTTTTTTGATATGCAGCTACATAATTTTATATAGAATCCATTGATTTATAGTCCGTATCTTTCTGCATCATAGTGTCCCGAAATAGTTTTCAAAGTTTTCACAGCCCCGGTCTCAGTAAGAAATTTTTGTATTTTGCTCTGTTATGATTGTAGAAAAAGTTTCGTAAAACCGGTCTTACCTTAATTATGTGCATTTCTTTTTTTTTTTTTAATTTTTTAAAAAGTTTATATTTTTATTTTGAGAAAGAAAATCCCAAGCAGGCTTCAAGCTGTCGGCACAGAGCCGGATGTGGGACTAAAACTCATAAACCATGAGATCACGACCTGAGCCAAAACCAAGAGTCGGGTGCTTAACTGACTGAGCCTCCCAGGTGCCCCGAGGTGTGATTCTATCATGTGTTTTGTTTTAATCTGTTCTGTTTGATTAAAAACAAAAAAACAACAACAACAGGTTGGGGATCAGTGAATTGTTACAGTTCCCTGATCTGTAGCTGGAAAACACCTGTCTATGTTAAATTGTTCTTCCTGAAGGGCTGCCTCAATTTGGTCATTTCGAGTGATGTTGCAGCTTTTTATTGTTAGTCTGATAGTTGACATAGTAAATACTGTGAGTGCCTCTTTGTTAGATTAGAGAAACTCCAAAAAATAGCCTCCTATCATCTGTCCTAAGTGTTCTGCCTGGTGTAACTACTCAGAGGTAAATGGAGCCGCTGCGTTGTTCTAATACCAATGCTTTGGAGCCCTGGTGTTCGTGAATCTTGATTAAAAACAAGTTTTTTTTTTTTTTTTTTTTTTTTTTTACTGTTTATTTACTTTTGAGAGTGGCAGAGAGAGAGGGAGACACAGGCTCCAGGCTCCTAGCTGTCAGCACAGAGCCCACATGGGGCTTGAACTCACCCCCCGGGACATCATGACCTAACCCGAAGTTGGATGCTTAACCGACTGAGCCACCCAGGCGCCTCTGGTGAAATTTGGTTTAACATGGACCCTCATTTATGTGGAAAACCCAAGGGTGCTTAAGAAACACTTTCAGCAGTTTTTGTTGTAGTTATGCAGATGGTCTTTGTGTAGACTTTTAGCTTTATTTTCCCCCCAGTATCTTATTGAGTGTTTTCTGTGTGTGTATGATCCCACACTCTGCCACAGAGAATTTAAAAAAAAAAAAAAAAAAAGTAAGGCTTGATCTTGTAAGGAGCATGCATTCAGTTTCACAGAAAATAAGCCAACAGGCAAGAAATTCCTCCCCTTTTCTCCTATTAAAATGGATGCGGTATCACTTGAAGCTCAGGTCGGACCTTCCACCTGCACACTGGATCCCAGCTCCTTTTTAGCATCGTGAACCTTAATGTCCCACCCTCTTCCTTCCTGTGCCTTCAGTCTGCCAGCTTATCTGCACCAGCACTGAAACATACTGATGGCTCTTCCATCTTTAAAAAAAAATTTTTTTTTTTTTTTATAACCAAGCTTCTTAAAATGAGTTGTAATTCTACTCTCTCCTTACGTGATGCAGACTGGTTCCTGCCCCCACAGCTGTACCGAATCCCTTCTAATCAGGGACAGCAGTGCCCTCCGTGTTTTCCTGACTGACCTCAACAGCCCGTGACTCTTGACCCCTCTCCTTTGTATATATGCCCCTCTGCCTCTCCTCCTTTTGATGCTAGAACTCAAAGGATCTTTGACTTAGAAAGGTTACGAATTAGTGGGGGTACTTGTCTGGCTCAGTCGGTGATGAATATGAATCTTGGTCTCAGAGTTGTGGGTTTGAGCCTCATGTTGTGTGTAGAGATTACTTAACAACAAAATCTTAAAAAAAAAAAAAAGACCAAAGATTACTAATTTCTGTGCTGGTGAAAATCTGTGCCCATGACACCCTAGCATCAGGTTGTTGCAGCCCTTCTGAACCCGTTTGCAGTTTTCAGCTCTTTGAACTTGCCTTCTGTATTTAACGGTCAGTGAGTAGCCTTTGAAGTTTTTTCTTTTTAAGTATGGCCCAAAAACAGTGTGGTAGAGACTTTGCTGCAGAGTAGTTTTTTTTTTTTTCCAACATTTTACTATGAAAATTTTCAAATGTATAGAAAACTCAAAATAATTGCACTATAAACACTCCTCCCTACTGCCTAGATTTCTGCAATGAAACCTGCATTAACATTTTACTATCTTTGCTTTTTCATGTAACTGTCCATTCATTAATTCATCTGACATTGCAGAAACGACTTTATTTTATTTTTTTAATGTTTTTTTTTTAAATTTATTTATGAGAGAAAGAGAGCGAGAGAGAGACAGTGTGAGCAGGGGAGGGTCAGAGAGAGAGGGAGACACAGAATCCTTAGCAGGCTCCAGGCCCTGAGCTGTCAGCACAGAGCCTGACGTGGGGCTCAAACCCACGAACCGTGAGATCATGACCTGAGCCAAAGTTGGACGCTTAACTGACTGAACCGCCCAGGCGCCCCCAGAAACGACTTTAGAGTGGTTGTAGTGGTCAGAGCTTTTTAGGTTCAGGGATGGGCTGTTTCAGTTTGGTTTCTTCAGTTTGGTGAAGGGGCACTCACAGCTAAGTGTTTCAACTGTTACAGATTAACAGAAGGCTGGGACAGCACGTGAAGTGACCAAAGATGAGGTAGCTCTTCTGTAACCATGTAGACCTGTGTTTTTGCACTGTAGAAGGGGTATTGAAAACAATTTAATGATCTTAATATATTTCAAGTTAAGTTGCAGACGTTGGTACACTTTACCCCTAAACCATTTGCTGTGCTTATCCTTTCATTATTCTTTTTGTGTGTATATTAAGAAACACACATATCAGTGAATTTTGACAAGTGCCTCTGTGTAATGCCATCGAATATCACCTTGTCCCATCTTCGGTCATCCCCTCTGGCCACAGAAGCCACCACTGTTCAGGTTTCTTTCCACCATGGTTAGCTGGCCTGCTCTAGAATGTCATGTAGGTGGGATCATACTGCGTGCTCTCTGTTCCTCTCTTTTTAATCATAACGTTTTGGGCTGTTTGCTCCTTTTTCTGCTGAAGAGTATTCCAGTATTCCACTGCATACATAGCCCCAGTGAGTTCATCTGATCTGAGGTTGGCGCCGGAGCTGTTTGCACGATTTAGCTCTTCAGAGGAGAGCGGCTGTGAAACCGTGTACGCGTCGTGGGTTTTCATTTCTCTTAGGAAGATCCCAGGGAGTGGAATTGCTGGGTGGGCGAGGAAGTCTGTGTTTTTCCAAAGGGCTTGGAGCATGTGGTCCGTGCCCCGGCACAGACCGTCCGGATGCCCTCTGTTCTGGCCCGAGGTTTGTGCTGGCGACTTCTGTCCCGCTTTCTGGAGGATGTGTCGGGATACCACAGGGTGCTTTTAATTTGCATCTGACCATTTCTCTCTCTTATAAAGTGTTAGAATTGCTTGCATAGTTTTTAGTTAAGTTGGTTGCCTTTTTTTTTTTTTTTTTAACCGTGTTGAAGGAATTCTTCATATTTCATGGTTGCCAGGCCTTTGTCAGATTGGTTTTGTGAATGTTTTCTCCCAGATTAGGGGTTTTTAATTCATTTTCTTAATAGTGTTTTTTGATGAGGAAAGGCTTTTAATTTTGAGAAAGCCCAATTGATCAGTTATTTTGTTTCTTGGTCTGTGTGTTTTGCCTGGGAATGTAAATGAGTACAGTGAAGCAGGGA